GGGGGGGAGGACAAAACATGAGACAATTGAGAGAGCTTCAGACGTCCTTTTGCTTTGGGCGATGTGTGGCTTGGCCCAGTCCCGTCTAAGTCTCTCTCTCTTTTTTTATTATGATTGTCTTTAGACTCACCATCCACTTGTAGCAGAAAAAAAGGCCAGCAAGATAAGAAAAATTACTTTCCATTTCTGTTTTCTTTTGGATTGTCTTCTGTTTTTTCACACAGGTGAAAGGGAGCAGGTCGGCCAGTTCCATACCTCACCTATCCTCACATGTCTCTCTTTTTCTTTATACCTCTGCTCCACCACGGCTCAGTTTAGACGATGGAGTCCCAGTCAAAGTCGTCCTGGATGTCGTCTGCAGTGAGCATGCGTCTCACCTGGAAGTGTCCCAGAGGCAGCCTGTGTTGTTGTTGCTGCTGCTGCTGCTGCTGCTGGCTCAGCTGGCTGAGATGGCCTGAAGATGGAGAGAGAGAGCAGAAGCTTTAATATTAAAAGATACTGTCACACACAATGACATGTCAATGTGTCTTCTGTATCACTGCCACTAAGTGAATTATTATTATGTTATATTGTTATTACCAAATTTTATGTCTTTTTTAAATATTTTTTCTATAAAAACAGAAACCTTAATTCTCCCACAGATTTTTTTTTACTACATGAAGATCAGTTGCATGGTTCGTACACAGCCTCTGAAAACAGTTGTAATAATGTCTTGAGGAGCTTTGACTGAGAAAATTACAAGTGACATCACTTGAGTCATGGGAAATATAGTATCCATTGTTTTTGGAGTTTGACAGTCAGGATATCTCAGTCTCAAAAACCCGTAAATTCTTCTAATCTGTTTGTTGTGAGTCCTCAAACTTTATGGAGGTACAATACTAAATTGCTGGAGTACACCTTTAATTGCATGTTACTTTTTTCAGTTTCTGAGCCAGTCTGTGACACACTTGTATATACAGTATACTTATAATTTGTTCTTGATGCTGAGATTAAAATGTCTTAATACATTGGTTGTGTGATATTAAATCCTGGTTTTACTTATTAGTCATGATCTCACAGCAATACCATATTATTACCATCAAATACAGATATTGTACAGGCTACTGGTAATCACAGTTGACAAACACACGGACAAACACACCTGCATGGATATGGACCTGCATACACACACATACACACTGCATTTCTACATGCTCCTCCTGACCTGTTAAGAGAGCGATGGAGGAGTCACCTGCCATGGTGGAAGTCGTGTTGCTCATGGGAGGCATGTGGGGGTATCCCGGCGGGCCCATCAGAGAGGAAATACTCTGTCTCGAGTCTATGTACATGTTCCCTGTGGGAGAACAGACAAAAGGGCATTGACTAATTGTCAGATTAGTATCCCGACTTTCTCACATGTGTCCGTTTCTTCGCAGAACGCGAGCTCCTATCGTGTGCACGCACAGTTTTACTGCTATCTTATGCAAAGCCTGAGAAATCCTACAGAATGTGCTGTCTCTCAGTGGATTTCCCAGTGGTGAAATATTCCCTCGTCTTCAGATCTCAAGTTGCCATGAAGCTGACATCATCCATAATTCCTTTGTAAATCTATAATGGGCCAATAATGGCGAGGAGAGAGAGAGAGTGTAATTTAGACAGACTGCGAATACCTGCTGTCCAAGCTGGAAAGTTACTAAGATTTTCTTAAACACTCTCAAACTGCTGTCCCAGGGTCCATTTCTGGTTTGAGACCCCTGTCTCAAGAACAATTTTAAGATAAAGGTTAAATATTTCAATTTTAGCAGATGATCTACTTTTCCTTCACTAAATTTCAGAGGGTAATATTATATTATGTGACAGCTGGAAGAAAAAGTGAGAGACACTCAAAAAATTACAGCTTTTGTGTGGTTGATACATAAGTAAAACCAATGATATGAAAATATGCTAAAATAGGCAATTAAGTGTGTGACTACAGTGTATACTGCGGTATATACTGACCCGTGCTGATGTGTTGGTTGTGTTGTCCGTGCTGATTGTGCTGGCTGGCCTTCGGGTGCATCGCCCCGTGCGGCTGAGCTGGGTGCTGCGGCGCTCCCGGTGGTGTCGGATGTTGGACCTGAGGTTGTGGGTGGGCGCCACCCTGCGGGGGGATGACCCCTGTGGCCGTGAAGAACTGGTTAATGGAGGAACACAGGTCAGCCATCTGGGCGGCGTCCAGTGACCAGTTGTTGAGCTCAGCCTGCCGCATGCTCTCTTTTAGACCTGGCAGACAGACGGAGGAGGCGAAGATGGACTGTAGAGCTTTAATCATTCTCACAGTTAACAACTTGTACCTAAATGTTTCCAATATGTCACATAATTTTCCTTTAAACTATTTTTTAGTAATAATTTGACAACTGAAGAGTGACAGAAAAGGGGGGAGAGAGAGAGGGGATGACACACAGCAAAGGGCCGCAGGACTTGAAACCCATGGCTGCTGCAGCAAGGGCTTTGGTACATGGGATGCCAGTTCTACCAGGTCTACTCATGTTAAATGAGAAATGTCACAGTAATTTACCAGTTGCCATTTTCTGTGGCTACACAATTGCACCAGATCTGAAATGATACATGCACTGTCCATCATTGTATTCCCATGACATATTTAGTATCTCAGGATCTTAATTATAACATGAAACAATGTTCTGTAAGTGTGAACAGTGCGTATCCTGGGTTTCCAGAATTTACTAGGTTAATGTTGGGAGGATTAAAGATGTGTGAAGACAAAAATGCAATGTAATATCAGGCTAACCTGTTGTAAGTAGAAAAAAAAAGGTCACTTTTGCGTATCTCAATATAAAAAAATTAGGCCTAATCTTATTTTGAATCAT